GGAATATTTCTGTTTCTAGTTTTACATCCTTTGTATTTGCCGTACTCTGGCCCCATAACCTGTTGAGCTTTCGGATTTTCCTTTTACTTCTTTTACCCCAAAACAATTGGAAACATTGATTTTACTTTTATTATGAATAAAATTGCATAACATATGTAATTTAATTAAACGTGATGAAATATCGATCAAAAAATTTACCTCTTTACCCCTCTCAAAAAATTGAGGAGATTATCTCAAAATTTTGCGGAATAAATCCTATCTTAAATAAGTAAAATATTAGGACTTTCTCTTACTAAACATTTGTAACTCCTGTTTTATCTAAATATTTTAAAGTTTTTAATTTCCCTCCCGCTTATGTATAATTCTTGTACCTGTTTTGCAACTTCTTCATTATTACTTCCTGAGTGTAAGCTAAAGATAGAGTATTCGAGTCCATCGGGCGACTTGCCATTTTCATGTTTTCTCGACATTTATTGGCGACTAATGTACGAAAAAAGTGGTTTGTCTGTCTGTGTCGATTTATATTAGAAATTTTGTAAGTTTATTCGGACTGTTATGTGGAGGGTAAAATTTATTGTACGAATTCCTGTTGAGTTTTCCCCCTAAACATCCAGATTTTTTGAAAAAAATCAAAATAAAATATTTGTACAGTTGTGGTTTATAAATCCGTGTTTAGTTTCTACACTAGATATCTAGATTTTTGAAAAAGAATAATAAACATTATATAGACGGATGGGTGGGGATTACGTAATACATTTAATTTTCTTTGAATATTATTTAAGAATATGTTTCACATGGTAATTTTTCGTAGAAAAATAAAGATTTTGCCATTAAGCTCCGCCCCGGCTCTCGACGAATTAAAAAATTCGTCACAATTGGGACACAGCGGGTGGGTGGGACTTATATTCTTTTCCTTTTTCTCTTAATATACGTAGTCATCTTTTCACAACGAGAAATGTACAACATGTTTAAAATGTTACATTTTTCTAGATAAATGTGGATTTTGCAATTAAACTCCGCCCCTCGATCTGACAACGAATGAAAAATCCATTACGACTGAGATCGAGACGGATGGGTGGGACTTACCATTTGGCTTTCTTTTTTACTTAATGCATTTAGTTTTCTTTGAATAACACGATTATTTAAGAACATTTTGCAATTACGAGGTTTACGAAGAATAAAAGTATTCGTCACGATTGAGACGGTGTGGGTGGGCGGGGCTTATATTTTACCGTTTTTTTCTTAATATAAGTAGTAGTTTTTTCACAAGAAGAAACCTAAAACATGTTAAAAATGTAGACACGAATGAAAAGTTCATTACAATACGTAAAAAGATTAAAAAGATGCACATTTTGGATTCAATTTACTCAGCAAAATTGTAGATAACGTCGTCAAATTTTGGGAGAAAAAAAACCTAAAAAATAGTTTTGCTTCTAGTTTTACTTTCCTTGAATTTGGCGTACTCTAACCCTATAACCTGTTTAACTTTTGGATTTTCCTTTTACTTCTTTTACTGCAAGATAATTGGAAACATTGGTTTTGACCTTTGATTATTAACACAATTGCGTAACATTTTGCAATTTAACTAAGCGTGATAAATTGTCAATAAAAAAACTGATCTCTTTAACCCTCCCAAAAAATTGATGACGTTATCTCAGAATTTTGCCGAATAAATCCTATCTAAAATAACCAAAATATTATGACTCCATACTTGTGATTTAACAGATAATCTATAAGAAAATGTATTTATAGTTAAATTTTGAAAATCGTCAAAAATGGGCCGTAATTCGCATGGGGGGGGGGGGGGTTGTACATAGTGGAAAATTTCATTCTTGAAAAAGTAGACTAAAAGCTCTCAAAGAATTGAAGATTGTAGATCTGGACGTGGTGATTCTAAAAATATAGCATATTTAGCAATATTTTCGAAATATTCGGAATGAAATTCGAATTTTTAAAAATTTTTAAAAATTACGATATTTCAATGGGCGATTCTAGAAAAACGATGGGAGCTATCGAAGAAATGTGGTCGGAAGTGACTTCTGCGGCTCGAAATCTACAAGAAAATATATTTAGTTCAATTTCAAAAATCATCGAAAATGGGTCGAAATTTCCGTAAGTCTGGAGAAAAGACACATACATAGCAGAAAATTTCATTTTTGAAAAGGTCGTGTAAAAATTCTCCAATAATTTAGGGTAATAGATCTTGACGTGCTGATTCAAAAAATATAGCGTGTTTAGGTTTACGGACCAATATTCTCGAAATATTAGGAGTAAAATTCGAATTTTTTATAAAAATCACGATATTTCAATGGGAGATTCTGGAAAAACGGTTAGAGTTATAGAAGAAAAATCTAAAAACTAAAAAAACCAAAAAATTAGAAATCATAAAATCGAAAATTCGAAAAATCAAAAGTTGGAAAATCGAAATATCGAAAACTTATAAATCGAAAAATCCAAAAACTGAAAATTTGAATAGTCGAAAAATTGGAAAATAGAAAAATTAAAAAAACAAATTTACGAATAATTGAATCGAAAAAGTAAAAATCAGGAAATTGAGAAATTGAGTATTTAAATAATTGAATAGCAGAGAAATAAAAAATAGAAAAATCGAGGTTGTAAAACACAAAAACCAAAAAATCTAAAAATAAAAAAGTCGAAAAATTGCAAAATACAAAAGTCGAAAAATTGCAAAACTCAAAATTTAAAAATTTTAAAACCAAAGAAGTAAAAAATTAAAAGGAAAAATCAACCTAATTCAGGGTTTTTGTAGTTCCTACTTATACAGGATGACACTCAATAACAATTAATTAATGAACTAATTTATTTTGTTGATCAAATCAAGGGCGGCTCACCCAATTTTTCTGAAAATTTTATAATTGTAGACCATTTTTTTTTAAACCTGAACGTGCTCGCTTCGCTCCCTTTCGAATCTTTTTTTTAAGTTTAGTCTTAGAATTATCCAAGAAGGAGCTTGGGTTCAATTGTAATAATAAATTTCTATATTTTGAAAAACACACGTTTGGAAAACGAACGCAGCGAGTACGTCCAATAAGTATCCCCAACTTTAGTAATCATATTTGTTTTTAATATTAACTGTTTTGTAGACGATAAATATATTTGTTTTTTTTTTTATATTTTAGCTTCTTAGAGATAGCAGTGATTTATTTTAATAATATCTGGAATGCTCGCTGTGCTCGCATTCTACGCGATTTAGGCTCATAGCTTCAAACTTTCGAATTTTTCTATTTTTCGATTTTTACACTTTTTGCGTAATTAAGAAAGAATTTCAGCGGTGTAGTGATAAATCTCTACTTATTACTATAAAAATAACAAACTTTTAAAATGCGAGCGCAGCGAGCACGTGCAGGTTGCTAGGATCTCTCCCACTTTAGTATTCACAAACATTTTCAAGATTCACTTTTTTACACACTAAAAAATTCTCTCAATATTAATAAATTACATTCCCAGGAAAAGACCTAAATGTGCTCGCTGCATTCGCATTTTGAATGTTCTTTTTTTAATTAATTTAGTGTCATGTTTTCATTTCATTTACGAATGAATGGTTAGCAAGGATACTTAATTTTTAATATAATAATTCTGGAGATCTGCCTGTGAAGATAAATTATTACTCTGAAAAAATTAACCTCTAAAATGCGAGCGTAGTGAGCACGTTCCTGACGTTGGAGTCCCACAAACATTAGTGATTACAAACAATCTTCAAAGCTACAATTTTAAACTGTTTTTAACAACTTAGGTTTTCAGGAACACTAATAAATAATTTTTTGAATTACACCTGGGCGTGCTCGCTGCGCTCGCAATTTAAATTTCTTTCTTCAGCGTTATTTTATACAAGAGTGCAGGAAATAGTCCGACCGAAGTTGTTTGGGTTTTATTGTAAGAATAAATCTATAGAGTTAAAAAAAAAATACACCCTTACTATATGAGCCCAGCGAACATGTTTAGAATGCCGGGGTTTCTCCGATTTTAGTATCCATAAACGTTTTCAAGATTCAGTTTTTTTGGACACTGAAAAATGTTCTCATTAATAATAATTTACTCGTTGATTCCCAGGAACACCGAGTTTCCGCAACTTTAGCAGATTATTACATTAGTTTTAGGATTTACCTCTTTTAGACAAAAAAAAATCTGTTATTAATAATTTAGCTTCTCAGGGACACTACCGAGCAATTTTTAATAACACCTAAACGTGCTCGCTGCGCTCGCATTCTTCATATACGTTAAACATTATAATAATGCGGTCACGTTTAGGAATGAATCGTCAATGAGGCTACTTGGTATGTTTTATAATAATAATTCCACAGACATCGCTATGAAGCTAAATTATTATGAAGAAATCATATTCTCATCTTTTTTAATTATTGTATACGCAGATTTTTTATGTAAGTTGTTTACTGACTCATTTTTGGTAAAAATTCTCCTGCACTTCAGGCGCTCGGGAAGTTCTATCTAAGTAACTTTGAACCAATTTTTTTGATATTGTTTTTATCCAAAATTGATTTTATTAAATTTTACACTAGTTTTCTTTTTCATGTTTAATCAAGTTTTTATCTTCTTCGTTCTGATTCTTAGTATCAACAATTTTGTACAAAATTACTTATATCGGCGTAAGAGGTGGATTTTGGAAATCGGTGTGATTGCTAGTCGTCTTCAACGCTACTTTTATGATGCGATGAGAGAGTTTGTCAGAGTTCCGTCTTCTCTGTAAGCTCCGAAGCTTCGTGTGTCCAGTGCCCGGTGCGGGATATCGAGGGCAGTCCGGCAGCGGCGCGCCCGCGCCCAGGGCGCCGCCCCACGGGGGCCCATCGCGTCCGCGGCACACTTGTGCCCCAAACAGCGGCAAGGCATGGTCGCAAAAGGCAAAAACAAAAGAAAAATCACGTCTCGTGCTAAGGGATGGGTCCCATCGATTCGGCCGGTGGGCATGCGCGCTGCGCCACCCGTCGGGGCCGGTCGCTATTCCGTGCCGCGAGAATCAAGTGTGCCGTGGCCCGAATTCTGCAAGCCGATCGACGAAGTCGGCCGTGACGGAACAAACGCGAAAATCGCCAAATCGGGCCGAGTTTGAATTTGTCCGGGCGATTTTTTATTTTTTGCCGGAAGGACTAGGGCCGGGCATGGTGCGCTAGCTCCCGGATTAGGGCATGAGGAACGGGATATGAAGCGGCGATTTCCGGACGTTTTTAAGGTAAGAGGGGGAGTTGAGAGAATTTGCGTGGAATTCGCGCTGGGGCATTATTGGAAGTTTTGTGGGTGTGGTATGCTACAAACACTTGATGGTTTTAATTGCGAGCGGCCGACTTTCACGCTTTCGCGAACGTTTTTTAAAAGTTTTCAAAGAGGACAGTTGCAACCGACGCACTTGCGAAACTTTAAAATGGGAAAATCCTCGCGGAAAAGTAAAAGTAGCGGACGAAAAAACTTCAATTGGGGATGGAATGAAGCGTCATTATTTGCGTAATTTGGAGTTTTTTGTGACGAAGAAGTAGCTCCAACCTTGAAAAGTTTTGGAGTTTTTTGCCAAGTAGATGACTCGACTCGCCCCTCCCAAAAAATTGAAGCCATATAACTAAGGCCCAAAAGGCATCACTTGTCAATCGATATCTTGAAGGATTATGGGCAAATTTTTGCCTACTTACAAATTTACCAAACTCACAAGTTTTTTCACCACCTTCAATTTTCTACTTTCCTACTTCTAGTTTTTAATCTGAAAATATTCAGACGTGCAATTACTAGATTCTGCGCCATTTACGTCCTAATAACCACATTTAGCTATTCGCTTCTTAATTGTAGACGTCGTGAATTCTCTTTTCTGCTAATTGCTGGGAAAACTCATCCAACTTAAATTTAGCTCTAACGGCTAATATTTTAATTATCTACTCACGCTCAAGCCAATCGATACACTATAATAAAATCGGATTGCATCCGTGCAATAAATCACGCGGTATTTGACAAGTAATCAGCTTCGACAGGAGCTGTCAAAATTTATAACGTTTGCAATTAGCTAGAAGAGTTGCACTGAAAACACATTATTGTATTTGTACACTAAATTAAATTTGTATGAGGAGGAATTTACATGTACATATGTCAAAGATTCGTGTTTTATCGGTTTGTGGGGAGTATTTTCAAATTTAAACAAAAGTGGAATAAAAGGTTCCTGGTTAAGGGACCGATAACTGTCAAAATGGAAACAAGAACGAAATTGAGCCAACCTAAGAGAAACTGAACTTTATTCTGCATAGCGTGTTTATAAGAATGAACAATTCTTTACTTTGTAGTTCCTTTCTAATTATTTAATTTCATCCATTTTTCAACAGTTGTTATTAGGTTCTATTTTTCTACAGAAATATACAAAACTACTATTAATAAAAAACAAGTTCAGTCAATTTTTTAGATATTTGAATTTGAATTTATTTTTGTATAATCTCACCCTAGATTGAGTTTAATTAGATTTTTGTTATGTGAGATTGACTTGATCAAGTGTCAAAGTAGAAATGCGACTATAATCTGATTCCTACGACATAATTATACCAAATGGGAATCAAAGGAGGTATTCTAGTTTGATTACACAAACTAAGCATTTCTTGATGAAGAAAAATTTAGTTCAATGTTGCTAAAGTAGTTTATAATATTACATGTCCTTTTCGATCTCAAACTTTTGTGAATACTTCGAATTAAAGTGAACGAACGCCGTATAATAAAGTCACAACTTACTCACTTTAAAGCAAACACGATCTTGTGCAGATAATAATTTCACACTTCTGACACAGAATTACTCCAGACGTTCCACAACACAATTTTATGCTGCTGCTCCAAGTTTCTAGTTTTACGTTTAGTTTTATAAAAGTAAAGGAGAGCTTTGTTGTCCTGTGATGTTCTTATTTAAGTTGTGCTTCCGTACGTCTGAATAAAGTAACTTCATGCAGATATCTGCTGTTAATATTTTATTCATGAGTGTACTGTTGTCTTGATAAAAATTTTATATTAGCAGGTCCAAAATAGTCTTTTTTTATTTAAAACAATGAAGAAAAATTATAATTATGTAGAACAACTTACAACAGTACAAAATGGTTCAACATTGGTTTAATTTGTGTAAAATTACTACGGCCCATATTATAAGTGAACTTTTGTCGAAAGAGAAAAGGGATTAGCCTGTATTCATGTAAAGCTTGAAGGTATTTAGTGTCAATTAACTAATCAAAATGCACAACGGCTCGTGTCCAGCTAATTTGCAGCATGTGATGAATTGTGGTGGAAAAGCTCCCTGCATGTTAACGGGTTTCTGTTCAACATTTCGTGCTATTTTACCAATCGAACCGTTTCATATTTTCTTCGTACCTCAACCACCGATATTAGAATAAACAAAACACTCGTCACTTTTTCGCAAATCCGCCGCCCTCGGCGCAATTCCTACAAAAACGCCGTAAATCCCCGCCGCCCCCAAAAAATGATTGTCAGAAGCAGCTCGTCCCCAATCGATAATGCAAGGAAGAAGAATTGTGGATGGAAAACGAATTTGTGATAAGTCTTCGGCTTACCGAATGCAGCCCGTCTTATTAGATGACGGATTCTCAAATATTTGTCGACGAAGCGCTCCCTCCAGTTTGCTTTTTCTGTATTTTCCCCCGAAACCGACAGATAAAAGAATTAGAATCTCGCCGACCGACTCTATTTGCCGGCGAGAAGAATCGCCAGATTTGGCCTTCGTTATCGCTCCTTCTAATCAATTATAAATTCCGCGATCAATTCCGGGCCAATTAGGGCGAGTTGGGATATCTGCTTTAAGCATCCAGGGCCGGCCGGAGTAGTAGCCCGCGGGAGCCGCATCGATTGTGGGATTAATTTGTTAGAGACAGGGCGGAAAAATCTGCCGAGGTTTTTGGTTGAGTGGGTATTTTATTGTGATGGGTTCGAAAATGCTCCAATGAAATTAGCTCACATAAAATATGAAAATTGTGAAACATTTTGTGAGGATAATTAAATTAATTTTTTCAATGAATACGTATTTTTCGGTCTTTTTTTGAAGTAGTTCCTGTGAACATATAAAATAGAGTAAAAGCAAAAGGCACAGCGACTAAGCATGGAAAAAATTGGTCTAAAATCGCACCTGAAGACAAATTTCAAGCAAATGCAATGTGCTAGAAAAAAATGTTGACAGGATTGGGATCGAACTAACGCGAGCAGAGTTAAAGTTCTTTCAGAAATCTATACGTCACCAAATCCAAATATCAGCTATGGCACAAAAATTTTGTGAAGTAATTGTGATAAAAATTAAGGCAGACTCATAAAACACAAATATAGGAGTATTTAACTAAATGCGACAATTTATTTATTAATTAAGTCAAGAACGACTCACTCCATTTTCGCGAAATTTTGGGAGAACAGTACCGTTATTATTAGTATTACAGTGCATCTATCCAAACTGTCAAAATGAGGCCGTATTGTTAACACGCAACAAAGGTCTCTTGCACCCCCAGTCGTTTGATCGGCTGGTGAAAAAAATCGGCGAACTTTATTTTACATATAGTTTAATGAAATGTTTGAAATAGATTGTGAACAGAATCAAACATTAATTGAAACTGTTTATAAACAAATAATAATATATAATCTAAATATTCTTGTGACAAAAAAATGAAAAAAACGTAAGAATCCATGGCTTATGTGTATTTTTTGTAAAAGTTAGTCATCAGCACTTACTAAGATAAAACTGATTTTGGCAAATCATATACTCTATAAGAAAAGAGAGGGTGGGTGGGCGGGGCTAGTAGCTGCTAAGATAAGAATAATTTTGGTTAATGAGATATTCTCTAAGAAAAGAGAGGGTGTCACGAAAAATCGAAAGGAAAAAATTGTCTGAACATACGCAAATTAGGAAAAGGGTGCTTGAAAAATAAAATAAAATACGTACAAAATATGTAACAAAAAACGTCAACAAATTTTTGATAAAACAAAAATAAGACAAAATTACCGATCAAAATAGCCTTCATAAAAGATTTAAAACATGTTAAAAAAACAACACCTAATTTGAAATTAATGCAAAATTCTAACCTTTAGATTTCTTCTTCTGCTACAATTTAGCGAATCATCTTCATTTACGAACCCACTGCAACAAAAAGAAAAATACCATAGAAGTTAACATCAATTTTATACTGTTACGATTTTCGGTGAATTAAATTTTCATCAGGGTGTAACTCAATAATTTATTTCTTTACTCGAATTTACACGAATAACTAGTGCAACGATTATGTACAGAAATTATTCCGGCGAATTTCACTGGACCCTCTTGACTCAACTAGCTGAATAATCCGTTCCCCAAAGGTGGACTCTATTTAAACAATTCGCGGCGAAACCCTACGTCACCGCTTCTAGACTTCTCCGGAATCCCCATTCGCGACTTCCGTTTCCAGGCGTTTCTTTAGCGCTCCGTCGCTCAGTCGCATTGAGCGGCGTAAGACCAGAGGCGTCGTAAGGGTGTATTTCGTACAATACATACTAATTTTTAATAACGGTGCAATTCAACATTACAGATTTAATAAGTAGATAAGATTTAGATAATATGAATCAGAAAAAGTTTAAATTTTAAGCAAAATTTTACATTTACATCACCGCTTGTCAAAATAGAATTCAATTCCCATTTTACACTAAATAAAATCAGTCCGTGAAATGGAGAAAGGAGGTGGGCGGGGCTATTGCTTGCCCACCCCTTCTTCATTCCGGTGACTGCTCTTAATATTGTTAAGTCTTATCTTAGCAACTTCTAGTCCCACCTATCCGCCTTCTATTTTTTTTGAGAGGGCAAGTCATTTCCCAAAATCAGTGTTTTCTTACCAGTACTAGCCCCGCCCACCCGCCTTCTACTTTATTAGAGGTTATGTCATTTGCCACAATCAGTCTTATCCTAGCAGGCACTACCCTCGCCCACCGCGCTGTTTTCATTGTAACCATTTTATTTGTGTTCAGTATAAGATTCACCTTTCATTCAGACTAGATAAAATATATATTTCCGAAATGTAGGCAGGGTGGGTGGGCTTCCTTAATTATATGTTCTTTTGTAGAGTGGGAATGGAAACTAACGGAAGCTGTTAAAAAAAAAGAAAAAAAGTGCTAAAAATGAGAGAACGGGTGGGTGGGCCGGGCTAAGTTTAACTTTTCTTAGAGTCCTTTATAACTAAGAAATAGCCCCACCCA